CTGCCGGCCTGATCCCCCTAACTGCTCTCTCCTGCCGGCCTGATCACCCTAACTGCTCTTCCCTGCCGGCCTGATTGCCCTAAACCACCTCTGCCTTGGCCCCGTCACCATGGCTTTGTCTGGAAGGATGTCTGGTCTAATTAGCATATTACCCTTTTATTAGTATAGATGGCTTTCATCACTGCTGTTAAATCCTAAAAATGAGAGTCTGGTAATCACTAAACTATGCACTTCTAGCCTAAATGAAAAACATTCATGTGAAAAAGGATAAAAGACTTCTACCTTTCTAAATGCTGCCATTAGAGGAGTTATCTTGCGGTTATCTGCTGCATCCACATCTGCACTTGCTTGCACCAATAACTGAACCACATCGAGGTGTCCACCATTTGCTGCTAGCCACAATGGAGTGTTCCCCTTCTTGTTACGCACATCAATGTGAGCTCCCCTAAATAAATGACACAGATATCACTGTTTAAAATGAAATGGAATGACACAGCTAACAATAACAATCAACTATTAATTTGTGAAAATATTTTGTAAAACTAAAAACTGTTTAATATTCAAGGACTAAAATTAATTTTTCTCTCAAAATAACATTACAAAGAATTTCCAGTTGTTAAATTTAAAAACAATGGTACAGCAATAATTGCTTTTTATTTTAAAGACTAGAGGCTCAGTGCACGAAATTCGAGCACGGGTAGGGTCCCTAGTGGCTGCCAGCTGGGGCCTCCCATCCCTGGCTGCCAGTCGCCAGCCAGGGCCTTCCTTCGTCCTGCGCTGTCCCCTGGTGGTCAGTGCCATCATAGCAAGCGATCAAACTCCCAGTTGGTCAAACTCCCGAGGGGACACTTTGCATATTAGGCTTTTATATATATAGAAAATGACTCGGTATAATTATGAGTTTTAAACCCCAAGAAAATGTGAAATTTTATTTAGTGAAAAATAAAAGTACATCCTGTTAATATCATAATCAATATATTAAATAAACAGTATCCTAGAAACACAAATAGTATCTATGATGCAACTGCATCAGTTTCAGATTATTTGTATTCATGTATTTGTATTTAGCTTCAGAATAACATGAAGTTTTAGAACTCAGTGGGCATAATAGATAAAATTCACAGTGAGTAATAGTAGTTGTTAGTAGCTAGAACTAGTACTACTAAATACGACTGCTTAAAACACCATGCAAAAGTTTTTAGGAAATTGAATTAAGCAGGCAAGCATTTTGGAAAACTGGCAGGCAACTTCTAAGTGACTGACAGTAGAAATTATCCTGGATCTTTTCTGATAACTTGGAACAGTACCTTAACTGTCATTTAAAAGCCCAAGTTACTATAAAGAACAAGAAAATCAACAATGAAGACTTAGATTATTGCCACACTTTTAGGACTTGAAGTGGTACTTTTTTAAAACTCACACTGTGGGAGATGTAAGTGTAGATGACAACAGCTGGATATTCAGACAGCTTATTATAGTACTTTAAAAGTGTACACACACAAGAAAGGAAGATAAGTATTTCTAGGTTGCATTGAAATAAATCAACATAGCATAGCTCTGAATGGGTGGACAATAACAGAGGTAGGTTTAAAAAATAAAACAAGTAGTTTGTAGAAGTAGTCATATTTGATTTCTTAATAGTACAATTTGCCCAGAGAGAACAGTAATCACTAGTAACACCAGGGTCACATATAAAGGGTATGGTAACATCATACCTGCCAATGAGAAGCTCACAGAATTTATAATGCCCTTTATCTGCTGCTATGGTTAAAGCTGTATCTCTCGAAGAGGGCACTGGAGGGGCATTAACATCAGCACCTTTATCCAAAAGAACTCGGCCCACCTCTGCATATCCACCAGAGGCAGCTTCCATTAGTGGTGTGAGTCCAGTCTAAGTTTAGTGAAAAATAAAAAACAACACATAAGATAAAGGAAAGAGCTAAAATGTTAAAGAATAAAAATCTGGGAGCAATATAGTATGTTACAAAGACTCACAACTAAATTTCAACACTAACACTGCTAGTCTCTCTCAGTTACAATGTGATCTATTAAAAGAAGATAATTTACCTAATGACACTTTGTTGAA